CCATCACATTGTGATTTATATCACAGAGAGTGAAATGAAGAGGTGCATGATGAATTATAAGGTGAATTATACGTCTGCAGTAAAGTGAATTTAACACAAGGTTGGACATTTTCAGCAATCAGCTATGTTTACTATTAAATGCTTGTTTTTCAGAGCTGTGCACTGTCACCAATCATAATATGGTCAGAAAATAATAATAATTTATTTCCCTCTACTCTGAAAAAAATTGTTTTCATGCTGGTTCAGGAATTCTGGGAGTTGAAATCCACAGGTCATAAAAGGGTTGTGATTCCTCTGTTCTACAGTGAAAGTTGTTGTTTTAACGCATGGTAGGAGAGGCCAGAGTGATCCTTTGAGTTACATGCGCTGTCCTAACTCATCAGCCATGATTGCTGTGCATAAGCTTAAGGATAGTCTACTTATCAACAGAAATTTTGGACATGGCTATAAGCAAAGCCATCTCACAAGGCAACTGACTTGTTATATCATTATAAATATATTAAGTGTATCATTATAAATATATTAAGTAATTTATCAGAACACAATATACCTCACTGCCAGTCAATGGAATGGAAATGGAAAATAGAGAAAAGCTCATTAATTTCCAGCTGAAACTGTACACGTAGCTTTCATTGCTACTCCATATTAAGGTGGTTAATTCAGGAAGATGGAACTTTTCGTCTAGAGGGCATCTACACGCAGAAGGATAAGCCGGGTTTTTAATACCACTTTTAATACAAAAAGTCAACATGCTCATAAATGTGCTTGGACTGACACTTTGCCTTCCCAATACATGTGAAATATGATAAGTAAGAATTCATATTGTCTTAGTTCACAAAGGGAGGGAGAGGAAAGAGCAGGAAAAAGTAGTTTCTAGCAAGAATGAGACAGATACTAATCTAACCTTCTTTGGCATGCATTGCACTGCTGGCACATTGAGCCTGCTGTGCTACACTTGAGAAACCAAAATTGCTATTCAAGTCACAGGACCAGTGATAAAAGTTAGAAGAATAAAGCCCAAAGGAACATGTATCTTCTGACAGGGAAACTTTGAGTCTGCTCATCCCACCAGAATAATGATTAGCGCCTGTCATGCTCAGCCAGAGCGAGTATAGTTGTTGTCACTCCTGCTGAAACCTTTGAAAAGCAAAGGCTGGAGCCCCCAAACTCCAGTCTCCAAAGTATTTGAAATCATGAGCACCTTTAATATGATTGTCAAAATCACTTGCAATCACTTTGAACCTCGCCCTTCCAAAGCAAATGAACAAACAAATTCAGTCGTATTGGCAAAAATCATTTGCTGCATGCAAGACTGTAAATATGTCAGTCAAGTTCTCTGTTGTGGATCTATAAAGCTGTGCATCTCCTGAATGGCTGAACCGAAGAGTTAGGATGCTATGCTACATTTCATTCAACAGTTCATTGGCTATTGATAACCATTGCACAATCTTTCTTAATATGCACAGCACAAGATCTGTGAAAGAAAATATGGTTATGGAATGATATGGACTTTTTGAGGAGCATACAACAGTTTAAGAGTCACAAAAAACTAGAGATTCCTGTTATATTCCATTATTTTAAAAATGTCTCAAGATTTGCATGTCAACCATTTCTCGCCCCCCCCCCCCAATTGCAAAAGGTGCATATGCTGTATTCATTCAAAGCACATGGAAATCAGCCTTTCCCAACCAGATAACCTCGAAATATATTGGCAGCATCCAAAATTCCAAATCAGGATGTTGAATGGCCTTCGGAAGTCTGAGAGTTGTAATCCAACATATCTAGTAGATATTAGATTGGACTGGTGCAAAGCACAGGTGTGCACGTCAGATAGCTTTCCCTGAATAAAACTGAAATTTGGTTAATACATTTCCCTGCTTCTTCCCCTGTGATGTTTCTCTATTTTCGAAACATTAAAGAATCTTAGAGCTGAAGCTATGCTGGCCACCAAATCCATCTCCCGTCAAGGTCAGAAATTTAAATGAAAGCATCCCTGACAGATGGCTGTCCCTGCTGCTTAAAATCAGCCTCCTGCCTTCCTTTCCTTTTTTTTTTTGGTGGTCTATTATTTATACAAATGTTGTCCTGCCTTTCTGCCTGAAGGGGACTCAAGGCCATGAGTATAAAAATAAAAAAGCAGATAGTGGTTTTTTTTAAAAAAAAATGCTAAACACTTATAACAACTATTAATCTGTTCAAACTACAAAGACCTGTCCAAAGAAGAAATCTTGATTCCTTTCTTAAAAACAGAATGATTGCTTTCTCTGGAATTGTGTTCAGGCTCCAAACCAAGCTTGGAAGATAAAGGCATTAAATTAGGGCCTCTTCTGTTGATCTTATGGATCTGGATGTGCATATCAAGATAGGCAGGTTCCAATCTATTTAAGGAATATATATATATATATATATATATATATATATATATATATATATATATATATAAACTAAATTCAGCAAAGAATAGTTGAAAAAATAGGCTACTACTTTCACTAAGTGATGTGTTTTGGTAGTCTTCTCATGTAGAATGCATTGCAGCAGATAAGTTAGGAAGTAATCAAGGCATATATAGCTGCTGCCAGGTCAAGAAACATCACAGAAATATATTACAGAAATATAAATGGGCAAATGCATTCCTAATCACATGGGAACACAGAGATTTCCTTAATACCACCAAATTGTGAACTGAATTTGCATCAGAAGCGGGAAGTCCTTCCAGCACAGACTGAACCAAACACTGGAGCCTGATTTCCCATTGATCTACAAACCTCTGCCTTGCTTGTCCCCATGTGGATCAATGGCAGCTAGCCTTGATGGCAATGTGATTGCCTCTGAAGGCCATCTGCTGGGAGACGAGTAGACTTCATTGTGCCATTGTTTGGCCACTATAAGAAAAAAACTGCTAAGCTAGATGGGCCAGGGTTCCAATCCAGCAGGGCAATGCTTATGTTTTTATGTTCCCATTCAGCCTTCATCAAACTTAGGCACCCAACAAAGGAATTAACTGCTTCCTTGGAGATGGAACAGAGCTTGATACAGAATCACTGACATTTCGGGTATGCTTGTTCAATCAGTTCTGTATCCAACTAACAGCAATATAATCTAAGCTACATTTTGATACCTTCTCTACCAAAACCTCATGGAAACTTTGTCAAATGTTTGGCTGGAGCCAAGGCATACTATGTCCATCACATTCCTGTGGTCACCTAAAAGGTCACTCTTTCAAACAAGGAGATCAGGTTAGTTTGCATGGTTTAGAATCAAGAACTAAGCAATGTACTTTTTTTCAATGGTTACAAACTGACCAGTTAACACTGTTTCAGAACTTTGCTTGTACTGATATGTTGAGTTATCCAGCACATACCTACCTACCTACCTACCTACCTATTTATTTATTTGTATCCCACCTTTATTATTTTTACAAATAACTCAAGGGAAAACCTGGGTTGATATCTGAAGGCTCTTGCATGTGGAGAGGACAAAAGAATCTCTTGCTGAACCGAAGCAAAAATAAGTTCATATTTGTTAGAAAGGTTTTCTGTCAGCTCTGGTTATATCTCTGGACTGGATGGCATTCTCCCTAAAGGGGGGTCTGCAAGTTGGGGGTTGTCTTGAACTCACAGTTACTTTTAGATAGGTAAGTGAATGTCATGGCAGAGGTACTTTGCCCAATTTTGTAGTGGCCTATTTGCTGGCAAAATAGAGTCATCATGTATTTATTTATCAAATTTAGACACTGCCCATCTCACTATGTAAGTGACTCTGAATGATACCCATTTAACAGCTGTGCTGAAGATCAAGAGGTTTCTGAATGCAATTCAAATTGCCAATTCTAACCTATAAAATCAAATACGAGTTGGCTGCAAAATGCCTTCAGAACTACCTTCTCTACATGAAATCAACTCATTGAATGTGTGCTCCTTAACACAATCTTTAAGTGAGTCTCCCATAACCAAGAAATTAAAGGGCCTCATGGAGGACTAGAACTCACAGTCCCCCAAGTAAGTTAATCAACTATACCTTTCAATCTTTGCCTTCCACTCATAAGTTTCATCCCACCAGGGTTCAGTAATATCTGCTAAATGGTAATTGCTTTCCTGCATTAGGACTTATAGTTCTTGCTGTTTGTATCCTAAACTCTACATGTTAATATAGAGACATGGGAATCCTTGGGCCTTGCAAACTGATTTATCCCTCTAGATTTACTATACTGTTCATTAGTGGGTGCTTCAGCAGCCTGCATATCCCATCAGTCCTGTTCTTAGGCCTTGGTGTCACACTATTTTCTAGACCAGTGGTTCTCAATCTTTTTAATGCCGCAACTCCCAACTGGTCATAAGTCGAGGACTACTCAACCGGTCATAAGTCGAGGACTACTCAACTGGTGCAGCACCATTTGCAAAATGGGATTTTTGGCGGGCTCAGCAGGGCAGAGACAGCCTGGACAATTCCTATTGGCTTTTGAAAGCCAATAGAATTAGACTCTATTCAAGAGAGTCTATTCTATTGGCTTTCAAAAGCCAATAGAATAAAAGGGAGTAGCACAGCTAAGGAAAAGGGGGAAAAAAATGGCAGGCTGCGTTGTTTGGCGACCCCCGTAAAATGGTCGTTCGACCCCAAATGGGGTCCCGACCCACAGGTTGAGAGCCACTGTTCTAGACTCTTTTCTCCCTCTACCACAGTATTCAGTTTAAAGCCCCTCAAGTCAGGTCTGAAAGATGCCTTCTGGTTCTTCCTAATTTTCATGAGGTACAGCAGACCTCACGCTGGTAGTACAATACTTATTTGTTTTGCTCATCTGGAGCACTGCATCTTTTCTGTTGTAACTATGGCATACTTTCTTATTTGTTACAGAATGTAGGCAAAAGATAGGACACGCTCTGTTGTGGGGCTGACAAATCTTTCCTGGTTCTGAGAGAGCCTTTTTTAGGAATTAAGATCTGGATTGTGCCTTTTGCGTTATAAGAAAATGAGGTCATATTGAAGGCAGCTGCAGATGAGCTATTTCTGGCTTTGGACACTTGGAATCAATACTGCTGTTACTTCAGATAGACATCAAGTAAAGTCCATCTGTGTGATTTCTTTGAGTCTCTGAGCTGGGGACTTTGTCAAAGAGAGATGTGCCGTGTGATGAATCAGGCAGCTTTTGTTTTTTGTCTGGGGATGGACTCTATGACAAGCAAAAAGTGGTAAGACTCATCTTCTTGGGAATACCTGAAACTTTAAAGGCCAGTTGAATGCAGCTATAAGGGGCAGAAGCATAATTTTCAGAAATACTTGTTTTGGATCTATAATTGCTTGCATGAAGGGTTTACATTGTCCATTTACTAGTCAATAAGTAGTCAATTGTATCAGTGAAAGCGTGACGATCTTTGAGCTATCATGGACATATATTATAAATCAGAGCTCCTCGTTCACTATTGAGTCTGATCTAAAGGTACAACAAAAATGTATGCAAAAATAATCTATATTGCAATAATATATTTAAAGCTTTTTAATTTCTTCGTGACAACAAACAAACAAAAAAAAAACCCAAAGTGTTACTGGAAGAAATTATTCTGTAATTAACACTAAAGTTAACTCATATAATGGAGAGTTGAAAAGGAATTTAAAAACATCAGAATGTTTTCAACCATAAATGCATCTGGGCATTGTATGCATTGGGAGAAATTATGGTATGTATTGCCTACAATGTTCAGGATAAGGCACGTGTAACTTTATGTGGCTAATTTGTAAAGACTAAGAAAATATTTGTTAAATATTTCATGATACAATTAAGTCTTATTAATGTAGTGGCCTTTATTTTGCAAATTAAAATGCACAAGAATTCATTTTTATCACAACAGGTCTTTATTTGTCATCTTAGTTTGCTAAGTATTTGATTAATATTAATATGGAAGAGCTATTTTCTTTTTGTAAAAAAAAACCCAGTTAATACTCTAGATGGAGTAGCTATGTGGAAATAATATTAATGGGTTACTATTTATGATACATACTAGTCCTAAATATTATTTTTGATATTTTTATTGCCACCCAGGACAAATACAGTTCATTATAGATGAGGGATTGTTTAATCTTCCAGCTACATGCAATAATCAGCAGAACAAATTGTTTTTAATGCAACTCTGATATTGGTCTCCCTCTGCTTTCTTCACACCACTCAAAATGCCTAATATCAGCTTTTGTTTCCGTTTGGTTATTTTTAATCTCTTTTGTCTTATCATGTTGCTCCCACTAGGCCCAGCTGCTAATAGAATGTTAACAATAAAAGATCTGTGTACCAAACTGGAGTTAGGAATGGACTGAAGAGACAATGGCTGTTTCATGGACTCTTGTAGAAAAGCCAAAGAGTTGGATTCTGAATCATGATTGCCATGGCTTCTACACTGTGCAAGCAAGTAACGTGACAAACAGAGCAACAAGGAAGAGCACTATGATTGTTGACTGGTTGATATTGTACCTAGGGCTGGATCTTGGAACTGGACTGTTCCTACCTGGCATCTGCAGGCAACATATTGTTGTATCGCAACATATTGGTGACTTAGTACACAAAATCACCCTAAAATTGAGAACTGGCCAAGAGAAAACTGTGAGAAGATCGAATGCAGGTACACTTTATATTCAAAACTGAGCTGCAAGGTTCAACACTGCCCAACTAAGGAAGGAAGTCTAAGGAAGAATTTAACATATCAAACCTTGCTATTTCAAGAGAGAAAGAGAATTCCAGAGAATACAGTACACACAGTTTAGAGGGCCAGTTTGCTGCAATGGTTAAGGTACCAGGCCAGAAACCAGGAGATCCTGAGTTCTAGTCCTCTTTTAGACACAAAGCCAGCTGGAGGACTTTAGGCCAGTCCCTCGTCCTCAGCCCTAAGGAAAAGGCAAGGGCAACCTAGTTCTGAAATCTTGCTAAGAAATATGTTCAGGCAGTCGACAGGAATCAACAGACTCAAAAGCAGCAAATATAGACATACACACACTTTACCATTATGGCTGAACTGGAAGTCACACTCAGGCAAAGGATGAAAAGCATAGTAGTATTACTGTCCACCAAACAGTGATTTGATCATTACTGAAAAAAGATATTAATCCACCAGAAACCTCAGTAGGATCAATGCCTCAGCAAAGCCATGTAAAACCAAAGCCGTACTCATGGAGATCCATCATCCTTGTAGAGCAGGCATGTCCATCCTTGTAGACCAGGCATGTCCAATCTTCAGCCCATGGGCCACATGCAGCCCTGGACAGCTAGTAAGGCAGCCCCACTATTAAAAAATAAAGGAAGTTTGTTATTTATATGCATTAACTATATTATATATTTTATATGTGTCCAGACAATTCTTTTTCACTCAACGTGGCCCAAACAAGCCACGTTGTGGAGACTGTGGGAGAGCCATATTCAAAGAAGAGTCTTTGGTGATCTCTTTGCCTTCTATAGGTGAAATCTGAAATTATGCCTCCTCTAAATTTGTGTGCATCATATTTCTTCTCTCTATGCTATGGCCTGTTTTATTGCTAAGAATGTTTAGTCTAGGCCTATGCCAAGAAGCCCTTTGAAGCTGCAGCCAAGTAGTTGCCCAGTACATCTCCAGCACAGAAAGAGATAGAAAGGTGGGAGAGACACATGAAGGTTGATAATGCAAGAATGATTTATGCACTGCATTTATCATTTGTCTCTCGTACAGTTTTCCACCACTGTAGTCCTGAGTACTATAAGTCTTCCCATTAACACCTTCTGTCAATAGGGTGATAGGGCTCTCCCCAAATAACCAACTGTACCTCAGAAAAAAAAATGTTGCCTGTCACCATGTTTCCACCTTTGCCAATTAGTAGGTCAACTGTTTCTTTGCCTTTTCCCTTGGTTCCACATATACCCAACCCCCTCCCTTTATTACTACTACTACTACTACTAACTACTACTACTACTACTACTACTACTACTACTACTAATAATAATAATAATAATAATAATAATAATAATAAACTTGGAAGGGACCTTGGAGGTCATCAAGTCCAACCCCCTGCTCAGGCAGGTAACCCTATACCATTTCGGACAAATGGCTATCCAGTTTCTTCTTAAAAACTTCCAATGTTGGAGCATTCACTGCTTCTGGAGGCAGGTTGTTCCACTGGTTAATTGTTCTAACTGTCAGGAAGTTTCTCCTTAGTGCTAGGTTGCTTCTCTCTTTGATTAGTTTCCATCCATTGCTTCTTGTCCTGCTTTGGAAAAAAGCTTGACTCCCTCTTCTCTGTGGCAGCCCCTGAGATATTGAAACACTGCTATCATGTCCCCCCTCATCCTTCTCTTCATTAAACTAGACATACCCAATTCCATCAACCTTTCCTTATATGTTTTAACCTCCAGTCCCCTAATCATCTTTGTTGCTCTTCTCTGTACTCTTTCTAGAGTCTCAGCATCTTTATTACATCATGGTGACCAAAACTGGATGCAATATTCCAGGTGTGGCCTTACCAAGGCATTGTAAAGTGGTATTAACACTTCACGTGATCTTAATTCTATCCCTTTGTTAATGCAGCCTAGCACTGTGTTGGCTTTTTTGGCAGCTGCAGCACACTGCTGGCTCATATTTAAGTGATTGTCCACTAGGACTCCACGATCCCTCTCACAGTTACTACTATTGAGCAAGGTACCCCCTATACCAGTGGTTCTCAACCTGTGGGTCGGGATCCCATTTGGAGTCGAACGACCATTTCACGGGGGTCGCCAAACAACGCAGTCCACCATTTTCCCCCTTTTCCTTAGCTGTGCTACTCCCTTTTATTCTATTGGCTTTTGAAAGCCAATAGAATAGACTCTCTTGAATAGAGTCTAATTCTATTGGCTTTCAAAAGCAATAGGAATTGTCCAGGCTGTCTCTGCCCTGCTGAGCCCGCCAAAAGTCCCATTCTGCAAACGGTGCTGCACCAGTTGAGTAGTCCTCGACTTACGACAGTTGAGTAGTCCTCGGTTGGGGGTCGCGGCATTAAAAAGGTTGACAACCACTGCCCTATACTATACCTGTACATTTGGTTTTTCTTGCCTAAATGTAGAACCTTACTTTTTTCACCATTAAATTGTTGTTGTTGTTATTATTGTTATTATTGCTATTTCTGGCATTCATAGCCAATCTCAACCCATGCTGAGCCTTAGCCTTTCTGACATCCTTTCAGATTCAGATTATTTCTTGATATTTTTCCTTTGTTATATACCCCTTTTTCCATTTTTTAAACTTGTCTTTTTTGTTTCAAATATGTTTCAGAAACAATGTCTGAAAATATTTGTTCTCAGATTGTCAAAGGAAATTTGGTGGAACCATGGTGTCTGTCCATTTTTTTCCTGTTCGGTGTTGCTTGTATTTGGTTCTTAATTACCACATTTTAAAATTTTATAATTATAACATTTTATAATGTCATAATTTCACATTTTCATAATTTCACATTTTTATAATTATTCTCTTGAATCATTTTTCCCTTTAGGATCTCCATTCATGGAATGGATAGAATTCCTCCTACTTTTTCTCTTAGCCCGTTGAAGTCCTCTCTCTTCAAATTTAGGTTTCACACTTACCTCCTACCTATCTAAATAACGTATTTACCAACTATCTTTCTACCAACATTTGTACATCTAATCATTTCTCCAAAACTGCCCTTACTTTTCAAAAATCTAAAGACAATTTCCTTTCCTTTCCTTTCTTCTTTCTTTTCTCTTTCCTTTTTTTCTTTCTTTCTTTCTCTTCTTTCCTTTTTCTTTATTTTTCTTTCATTCATTCTCATTCCAATTTATACAGCTGCTATCTTTTATATGTATGTATGTGTATGTGTGCATACATGTATGTGCATATGTATGTAATACGTGCATGTGTGTGTGCATCTTACAAGGAATTAAAAACAATAAGAATTAAAACTTTGACACATACACAAACGTGGCCTGATATGGTTAATTTCCTAAAACAAATGTTGCAAAGGCAAGAATGCTATTTTTCATGTCCTCCAATTGGTGCATTGATGGAGCACTGAGTAGCTGAACAAAAAGACAGAGTGAGACAGTGAGGATCTTTCCATGACCACAAAAGTGGCATTTCAACAAAGTGCTTTGAAGAAGTTAAAAAAAAAAAATCCCAAGGGAAGAAGAGATTTTGAAGAAAAAAAAAGTAGGATAGAAGCAGAATAGAAAGAGTATTGATGCTTTTGAACTGTGGTGGTGGTCTCTGTGTCAAGTTCTCTGTGGTCAAGTTCCGGAGAATACCAAGGAGAACCATAAAAACAAACACATGGATCATTGAAAAATTCAACCCAGAGTTCTCCCTCAAGGCATAAATAACCAGGCTCAGATTACCATATTTTAGACACATTAGGGGAAGACCTAGCTCTCTGGATCTATATTGCAAGATGAAAAGAAAGAAGAGGACAATTAGCAGCAATGGATGGTCTCAATTACAATGGTGATAGGTACAGATAGTCCTCCACTTACAATGATTCATTTAGTGACCGTTCGAAGTTACAACGCCATTGAAAAAAGTGACTTATGACCATTTTCCACACTTATGGCTGTTGCAGCATCCCCATGGTCATGTAATTTACATTAACAAGCTTGACAACTAATTCATATTTATGATGGTTGCAGTGTCCTGGGATCATGTGATCATCTTTTGCAACCTTCTGATAAGCAAAGTCAATGTGGAAGTATTAACAACTGTGTCACTAATTTAACAACTGCGGTGATTAGCAACATAAATTCTGGACTTAATTGTGGTTATAAATCGAGGACTACCCGTACACCATTAGAAGATATGAAGGACCAAATCATCTATATCAGAGGTCCTCAACCTTTTGGGCACCAGGGACAGTTCTGTGGAGAGAGGTTTTTCCGCGGACCAGAGGGTGCGTGGTTTCGTGTGCTGCCTGCATCTCACGGATGGGGCTTTGCTTGTTTGTGCGGTCCGGTACTGGTCCACAGATTGGGGGTTGGGAACCCCTGACCTATATGGTCACTCAGAATTAATAATGACTTAATAGCACATACTCATCAAGGGAATGAAGACAAAGCAGCAGCCTAACATACTCGAAATGTTTTAGATTATTATATTGACAAACATTTTGGTCTATCATTTTCAGCCAGTCAGAATAAAGCAACCCACAATTATAGAAGTTATATTCTGAAATTCTGAAGTCATATTAGGACATTTAAGAAGAAACTCAAAACAATCCAGAGAAGACTCAAAATGTTCCATTCGGATGGGATTCTAGCTAACCTGGAAAAAGATATTAGAAATTGAGAGTGGGAGAGGAAAAACTAGCAGCATGAAATATCCTAAAAGAAGGAAGCCTGAATAGAATAACACCATAATATAGTATGTCCTTTTGAAAGATCACTGTCATGCTTAAATGAACCTGCTGCAGCCTTGGAAAATAAGGGTTCATCTTTGGCTTTATTTAGGTTACAGGCCACAGCATTAATTCATAGCATTAATAAATAATTTCCTGGCAAGGCAGGGAGGCACCAGAAATGTCACCTAGGCACAAATAAGCAAGGAGCCAAACCACAGGCAAGTCCAGGCATTTAATTGGGGTGTGTGCTGGGGGGGGGGTTTGTGTGTGAAATATCATCATCATCATCTGTAAGCTATATGAAGATTCAATCTATAAATCAGATATAAATCTTTCAAAGGTTTTAAATTACACACATTACTGATTTGGAGCAGAATCCTACACATGTCTAGTGAGTAATGAGCTTTACCAAGTTTGATGGTGTTTACTCGGAGGAGAGGACTGCAGCTTAAAATTAAAGGTATTGTAACAGATACTAAACCTGACTATCCATCTACATAATCGGATAAGAAATATGAGGTGTTCCTGCCATATATCTTACAGACACTCTCAGGTCATACTTGGGCTACTGTAGTTTTTTTTTAATCAATGGTGAACTCCACCCATTAGCTGTGAACCAGTTTGTGTGATTACTCATTCTTGAACCTAAAACAGGTCTATCGTGACAAGCATTAGGTATGATGTAGATGCAGAGAAGTAAACACATAGGACAGTAGAACCCAATAATGTAAACTTTATAGGGTGATAAGAATAAACACACATTGTCAGATTCCCACATTCTACATCATAGCTTGTTTAGCTACAATCTACTGAGTAGATTAGAATTGTTCTGCTTCAAACACATTCTAATCTAAGCCAAAGCCAAATAAAACCATGCACTAATTCAGCATAATATGCTATTCATATGCTAGAACTTGGCAACAGAGAGGTAAAAAGATGGGATATGAGAAAAAGAAAGATTGCTTTTCCCCATGAATC